CCCCAAAACCCCAAAACCCCAAAACCCCAAAACCCCAATCGATGAGTTCCTTAATAAATATAATTTTATTTATGTCCTTCTTTGAAAAGATATGATGATGTGGAGGCAGCACAATTCTGCCAGATAAAGAATTTAACATGATCCTTGGTGATGGTAAAGATGACAGGAAAAAGTCAAAGAAGTACCACTATGGCACAGCTTATGAGAGAATGACTTCACCAGGAAGAGAAGCTCTTCGTGAGCATATTTTAACACCCCAAGCTGACAAGAAGAAAGCAAAAATAGTTAAAAATCCTAGTAATATCCAGAATTTTATGCTTTATAGAAGAGGAAGAGAAAGTTTCACCTGAGAAAGAGGCAGACAAATCTCCCGGCTATAGTCCTTCCTTTGTCAACAGTGATAATGGATCTTTTGTTCGCAGAAAAAATAAAATTGAAGATGATGAGGAAGTCAAATTCCCAGCTAGCTCAAGAGTTGATAATGACAGGGATAATTTTAGTATTGACCTGAAGGATGTATTCGACAGAGAGACAAGAGTTCTTCCCTCATCTAGCTCTAAATATGGAATTGATAAATGAATGATCTATCTCAGTGGGCCTATAGGCGTTCACTTTGAGTCACCCATCAAGATTCCTACCGAAAAAATTGGTGATCCTAGCAAAGTTGCAGTCATCAAAGTAGCATGTGGGTGGGATCATTGAGTAATATTACTTGAAAATGGATCAGTATTAGTCGGAGGAAATAACTCACAAGGCCAGCTAAATCTAAACCCAGCTCTATTCCCCAAGGTGACTGATGAGCTATACTATCACGAAGCTATAAATGAGAAATATGAAGTGGTTGATGTCGGCTGTGGGTCTAATCATACTGTCTTTATAGTCAGGGAAAAAGATGATGAACAATCATCGAGGAAAATATTCTCATGAGGCTACCATGGATGCTTAGGAGTGGACTCGATGAACGAAGATGACTATAGACTGCACCAAGTCTTGATTCCAGGCTTGATCGACTACGATAGTATAGAATTTCTCATCTGAAAGTTTAATTCGAACGCAGTTTTGGACTTTGACAACAATCTTTATTACTGGGGAGATGAATTTGATGGCTTTAGAATCAGAGTCCCTGAAAAGAAAAATTGGTTTAGCAAAAGAATCGTAGATCTGTCCTTCGGGTTTCGTCATGGACTTGCTTTATTAGAAGATGGCTCAGTCTGCCTTCTTGATTCTAATGGAGTTACTAAAATGAAATATACAATCCTTGACACTGTTAAAATTGTAAAAATAGAAGCTGGTTGTCGCCACTCCTTATTTTTAGATTCTAAAGGAATCGTTTATGGATTTGGTTTAACTAAATTGAAAAATAACAACACGGAAAGAATTCAAGGGCCAGTAGAATGAGAAGACTTGACAGACATCATTAATGAATCAAGCTGAATCGATATATTTGCAGGAGATGGCCAAAGCGTAGGCATTGATGCTGATGGGATCCCATACAGATGGAATGGAGTCACTGGCAAGATAGAAGTTCTTGAAGATTTAGGAGGAAAATATATACTAGAAGTCGCACTTGCAAACCAAAACATCGTCGCAGTATATAGCACTCAAAGTGGCTAATCCCATCACTTAAGTTTTCCCACCAAAAGTCCCATCTTCAAAATATTTTACCCTATCAGCTTATATTTCAGTATGAAACCACAATCAGGGGTTTTGGGGTTTTGGGGTTTTGGGGTTTTGGGG